TTCGCCAAGCCTTCAGGCTTCAACAGGCTTCAGGCCTCAACAGTACGTGAACTGTGAACTTCCAGATGCTCAAGCTGGTTTTTGAAAAGGCAGAGGAACCAGAGATCAAATTGCCAACATCCAGTGGATCATCAGAAAAACAACAGAGTTCTAGAAAAACATCTACTTCTACTTTATTGACTATGCCAAAGCATTTGACTCTGTGGATCACAACAAACTGTGGAAAACTCTGAAAGAGAAGGGAATACCAGACCACCTGACCTGCCTCTTGAGAAATCTGTATGCAGGTCAGGAAGCAACAGTTAGAACTGGACATGGAACAACAGACTGGTTCCAAATAGGAAAAGGAGTATGTTAAGGCTGTAGGTTGTCACCTTGCTTATTTAAATTATATGCAGAGTACATCATGAGAAATGCTGGGTTGGATGAAGCACAGGCTGGAATCAAGATTACCAGGAGAAATATCAATAACCTCAGATATGCAGATGACACCACCCTTATGGCAGAAAGCAAAGAAGAACTGAAGAGCCTCTTGATGAAAGTGAAAGGGGATAGTGAAAAAGTTGGCTTAAAACTCAACATTCAGAAAACTAAGATCATGGCCTCTGGCATGATGGGGAAATGGCAAATAGATGGGGAAACAGTGGAAACTGTCAGACTTTATTTTGGGGGGCTCCAAAATCACTGCAGATGGTGACTGCAGCCATGAAATTAAAGACACTTCCTACTTGGAAGGAAAGTTATGACCAATCTAGACAGCATATTAAAAGCAGAGCCATTACTTTGCCAACAAAGGTCCATCTAGTCAAAGCTACGTTTTTTCCAGTAATCATGTATGAATGTGAGAATTGGACTATAAAGAAAGCTGAGTGCTGAAGAATTGATGCTTTTGACCTGCGGTGTTGAAGAAGACTCTTGAGAATCCCTTGGACTGCAAGGAGATCCAACCAGTCCATCTTAATGGAAATCAGTCCTGAATATTCATTGGAAAGACTGGTGCTAAAGCTGAAGCTCCAATACTTTGGCCACCTGACAGAAAAAAACTGACTCATTCGAAAAGACCCTGATGCTGGGAAAGATTGAAGGCAGGAGGAGAAGGGGACAACAGAGGATGGGATGGTTGGATGGCATCACTGACTCAATGGACATGTGTTTGAGTAAGCTCTGGGAGTTGGTGATGGGCAGGGAGGCCTGGCGTGCTGCCGTCCATGGGGTTGCAAAGAGTCAGACACGACTGAGTGACTGAACTGAATTGAACTTCGTAATTTAAATGGTATCTGCATACACATAATCTCTTTTATCTTCATGATCTTTTATCCTGTGATTGTCATCATCTCCCTTTTACAGATAAGGGAATTTCCTCTCAGTGGAGGTTGAATGAGTTGCCTAAAGTTGTCTTGCTGCTGAAGGCCAGAGGAGGACCTTGACTTGGTGATTTTCCACTGGTGGTTTCCTATTAAGAATTCTGTTACTCTTTTAGTTTCATAACCTTCTTTGAGCGGCCACCATATTGATGACCTATTCTAACAGCAATAAAGTTTTGTTAATTCTAACAAAAACGAAGAAAACATGAAGCTCCCAGGCTTCTATAGCTTGAGTTCCTATTCTCAGGCTCACCCAAGCTGAATTAGTTTATGTAGAATGATGCAGGAAGTCCATGCTGGCCCACCTCCCTTAGTGGCTCTCTCATGCCTACAGGGATCTTTTTCAGCCTGGTGACCTTCTCCAGGCTCTACTCTTCTTTGGACCAGTTTTTCTCCATGCCCCTGCATGGCATGTTTGCTATGCCTCTTTTGAGAGACCATGCTTCTTTTTCAATATGTTGCATGGATGTAGCTCCACCTTCTTAGCAGGAAAGTTACAGTTTGGTTATAACTAAGCTGAGGCATTCTAGTTGTGGGTCAGGTGTCAGAATTCTAGAGGTGACTGAGTCCAGCTTAGAGTATAGACTCAGTTCTTAAAATACAATCATTATGAATCTGGATTTTGACCAGTTCAATGGCATCTTTTGTGATATTCTGTCTTGTGGACAAGACAGAAAACTGTGAACCAGAGCAGTTAGGAGGGCCCTGATTGGTTCTTGGATATTATGGTCTTCAAGGGGGGTTATCTCTCTACCCCTGTTTCTCTCTGCCTTTCTCTCTTCACTTCCCCTGCTCTTCCCTATCACCCCTTTATTTCTCCTCCTCCTTGTCCCCACTCTACTTTACATTCTTACACAAGTAACACACAGTGTAGAGAAATAAGAATGGACAGGAAAAAATTAAAGTTGTGTCTAATGCATTACAGATTGTTTCAGACTTGTTCAGATTGTTTTCTACTAATGACTTTATAAATATGCCACATTCAACAGACTGATGCACTTACTAACTCCTGGGGATGTAATGACAAACATGAATTTTCTGGGTCAGAAGGGATGCACTCTTATAATGGTTTACACGTATTGTTCAATTGTTCCCAAAAATCTACCTGTGCTTACAGATGGAAGTGATATGTCCAAAACATGATCTGGCCTTCAGAATTTACTGTGGTTGTTGCTTTGTTACTGGCTATGTAGGATGAGGGGAGGTGGTGATACCATTTTACCCTGAAGTAATCAAGACTTGGGCACAAGGCATTAACTGAGACTGGCTGTCTGAGTCTGGTCACGAGACTGCAGACAATATAGGACCATGATTTATGAGGGATCATTGAGGCACCAAGGAATAGTTGCTAGAGAGAATATGATTCATTTCATTCAAGTATGTGAAAGGCTGTCATATCAAGAGAAATTAGATTCACCTCGTGAGAATATAAGGGCAGAATAAGTAAGGATGTTCCAGGAAGACAAGATTCAGTTTAATGTGAGAAATCCTCAAACACAGAACAGTGTGAAAATGGATTGGGTTCCCCCTGTTCATCTGATTCCCACTTCCCTCTACATCCTTGGAGATCTTCCATCAGGGGCCTCATGCTATTTGGACGAAGAGTTATGGCATGTGTGTGAAGGGAATTCATGATAAGGATTTAATATTTAATTTGGAGACTTCTGAGAAAACTTTATTACTATAAGGCTGTGAACTTGAAATCATAGCTGTAGTTAAAATGTGCTCAGTCGCTCAGTTGTGTCCTTTTTGTGACCCCATGGACTGTAGCCCACCAAGCTCCTTTGTCCATGGGATTTTTCAGGTAAGAATACTGGAGTGGGTTGTTATTTACTCCTCCAGGGGATCTTTCCAAACCAGGGATTGAACCTGTATCTTCTGCTTCTCCTTGTACTGACAGGCAGATTCTTTACTACTGAGCCACTTAGGAAGCCCAGTTTATCCCAAAGCAAGAGGAAATTTTCTGCAAACACCATGTGTTCTCTTAATGTTTCTTAGAACAAGGAAGAAACTGTTGAACTTTCTGATCTCACATTTTTTTACACTCAGCTCACTGGTGAATAAGTGCTTAGTTTTTTGATGATCTTTGATATTAGGTTCAGTTTGTGTAGTCACTGTGTAGGGAGATGATTTTTCTCATGGTTTATGTTCTTCTTTTATTTTATACTCTTTGTCAACCCTTGGTCTCTCAGACCTTAAGGTTCACATATCCGGTGAAAGGTAAAGGGGTAGTTTTTACACACTGTTCACTTCATCTTAAAAAATTTTCAATACTGCCTTCAACACTTTCTAAGCCAAATCATACTTGTAGTGTTTCTGAATCTTGCTAGTGTTAAAAAGTTGCATTTTTCAAAGAAATTACAAGCATTTAAACCACATTTTTAACATTTTTGACATATATTTTCTTTATTTCAAAATTGCTACTTTGAGAAGTATAAAAGTGTCACTGAGAGTTTCTGGAGTCTGTATTTCCTAAACCTTAGGCAGGAAAGTTGAGACATATGCTGTGATGGCCTGATCAAGGGTGAAATATTCCAGCAGCTCCAGCTCCTGGTGTGGGCACACCCTGTGCTTCTGCCAGCCAGATGCCCTGTGAAGGACAGCAGAGCCACATTCAGGCCACAGAAACTCAGCCTCAGTTGCTGCTCATTCACGGTCCAGCTGTGGCTTGCTGTGCAGGCCTCGGGAGGAAGTCATCTCTGACAGAGGTCAGGAAGAGCAGGTCAAGGTCCCATGTCTCACCTGCAGGCTGGCTTCCTGGAGCCTCAGTTATAAAAGAAATTCAGGGTCTAGGTGACAGGAGTTGCTACACCAAAGTCTTTTGTGTGTATAGCTTCAATTTCTTTAAATTTGATCATTAAAGGACTAGATATTCATTAGAAATTAGTTCTAATCTTCCAGTCTTGCAGCCTTTAGGATATACTGTTTCTGTGGATTTTGAAAAGGGAAATAAAATCAATAATGATAAGTGATCTTTAGTCATTACATAATATTGCCATTTTCCTACCTGCATCCCTCTGCTCTTCTTGGACACTTAAGCATGAGTCTGTGCTTTCATATCTGGTAGACCTGTGAAAATAATGACATTACCATGATAGTAAACTCACAACATAAAGATGACAGGAATCTACAATTTCCTGAAATGTGATTTGTTGTGAACCATTTTGTGGGGAAAAAATTACAGAGAGATTATAATAATGTTTATTTAAAAAGTATCACAACAAAATTAATTTTGATAACTAAAGCAAAATTAGTATAACAACTGGAATTAATTGAAGTATTTTGCAAGTGTTTATTTACTGACTTAGCACTTGGAATGAGTCTTAGATAGGATGGATCTAAAAAGAGAGAAGATTCTCAAATCCACCAACTCTTCTTGATGCTGCCACAAGATTCCCACCATTCTTTTAAAAATCAGGGCTCAATTTCAACATCCCATCCACTGCTGTTTGGTAGAATTTTATCTCTATTTGGATATCATCCTATTTTCTCTTTCTTTACCACTGACCTCAGCTTATTTCATATGACTCTATAGTATATACATATAGTTTAAAAATATTGTTTTGGCTTGTTCATGAATTGTTTCTCTTAAAGGGCTTATCTGGGGAAGTAATTTCTTGTGTCCTGTTCTTGCAGGAAGAATTTTGAATCATTTCTCTAAAGACATTGGCCATATGGATGACTTGCTGCCCCTGACATTTCTTGATTTCATCCAGGTAATGTAACAGTACTGTTAGAGTTCTCACAGAAAGAGCACAGTCTATTTCTTAAGGCCTTTTCACAGGGGCTGAGGGTGATCCTTTCAGCCTGGCAATGTGTCCTGTTATCTTAAGTGAAAGGTCATGTTTGTAAGAGAAAGATGCAGCTGTGACTGGGAGGCTGAGTTAACATGAGGAAAACCTGGGGCAGGAGTGTCTACACAGTCACGTCAAGGTTGGTCTGAAGCAGCAACATGCTTGGTCAGTGGTTCTCCCTCTGCCTTCTAGGTATCTGTCATGGATTCCCTTTATTGTGAGGGCATTTCATAACAGAATCACCTCTCATGGAGAGATAGCCTAGATGAACTAAATTATATGTCCTATGACCACAGAAAGAGAAAGTGTTAGTTGCTCAGTCATTTCTGATTTTTGTGACCCCATGAACTGGAGCCACTAGTCTCCTCTGTCCATGGAATTCTTCAGGCAAGAATACTAGAGTGGGTTGAGTTCAGTTCAGTTTAGTCACTCAGTCATGTCTGACTCTTTGTGACCAACCCCATGAACTGCAGCATGCCATGCCTCCCTGTCCGTCACCAACTCCCAGAGCTTGCTCAAGCTCATGTCCATCGAGTTGGTGATGCCATCTAACCATCTCATCTGCTGTCATCCCCTTCTCCTCCTGCCTTCAATCTTTCCTGGCATCAGGGTCTTTTCCAACAAGTTAGTTCTTTGCATCAGTTGGCCAAAGTATTGGAGCTTCAGCTTCAGCATCAGTCCTTCCCATGTATATTTAGGACTGTTTTCCTTCAGGATTGACTGGTTTGATCTCCTTGCAGTCCAAGGGACTCTCAAGAGTCTTCTCCAACACCACAGTTAAGCATCAGTTCTTTGGTGCTCAGCTTTCTTTTAGCCATGCCCTTCTCCAGGGGTTCTTCTTGTGAGCCCCCAGGGAAACCCATTACCACAGAAGACAAGTATTTATTGCACTTTTTTTTTTTTTGATAAGGCCAGGTGTGGTTACTTACAAAGAAAAGATTAATAAATGATAAGTTGAAAAGTAATAGCTGAACAAGGACAATAAAGAGCAGTTATTGAAGATACAAAGCCTGTAAGCCAATAATTTGAGTAAAGGATCAAAGTCATCTCAGAAAATGTCTTTTTTTAAATTTTTGTAAGCATTTCCTTTCAAGCGGCAATTTCTCTGTTTTAAGGTGTCTTTAAAACAAAAAGATAGAAATACCACAGACATACATACCTTCTATCCAGCCTTTGTTTTGTCTGTGAACTTGAGATTCTAAAGAATGGTGTTGAGTCATCTCAGCTCTCATCGCCTCATTCAGAATGCTCATTTGGAATGCTTTTTTGTTGTGGTTTAATTCTGTCTGCTTTTTAGTGATTCAAGCTGTGGCAACTTTCCATGTGTTCATTTTGGAAGTGAAATGCATTTATCAAATGCTATACACAGAAATGCAGCAATGAATATCTGCACAGTGCAACCTATGGGCAAAGGTTTCCACTGTTACCAATGAGAAGTAAGCTGAGTCTCAGAGTCAGAGTACTTTCACTGCAAAGATATATCTGCTTATTTTTTCTTTTCCGCAAACTTATTTTATAAGGTGTCCTGTTGGGTTTAGCTACATTACTCATCCCCAGAAGCAGTCTTTCAGTAAAGCAGTGGCACATCTTGACAGTGATTGTTAATTACTTTGAAAAGATTTTGTGAAAGTTCTGTACCTTTGCTACTACAAACTAGGCCAAAGTTGGTTTTCCAAAGCTGGCTGGCCTGCTGTGTGCTTAGCACATGGTTGTTAGCCCTTATAATCAGAATCAATTGCATGTTTTTGTATGACGTATAGAGGGACAGGGATAGATGTTGCCTGAATTTAGGACAAAACATTCTCAGTAATGAGGAGAGAAAACTTCAGTTTCATTGATTTCGAATCCCAGCTCCTTTGTACTTCCATTGATATCAATATACTAGTTCATGGTGCATGAAATAGGAAAGGTCAAATTGATCTTATCTTTGGAATATCTTATTGAATAATCTTGTTTGGTTTAGTTAATTCAAAGATCCACCACTTTTGTCATTAGTCTCCCATAAATGCTCAAGAGTGTCATAACAGTAAGTATTTACCAAGAAGAAGCAGAGCTTGAAACAGAAAATATGGAATATGAAAATAAATATCTCAAAAAATGTTGACTTGCTGTCATATTCCTAAGGTTGTCAATCTTTGGAAGGCCTAGAGCTGAGAAGAAAATACAGAGAGGACAAAAACTGTAGTAGGCATGAGGTTTACTGGTCATAGTATTTTTAAAAGTACATCTTCAAACAAAATAGACCTCAGATTCAATTCTCTCTGTGGCCAGAGAAAAGCAACTGTCACTTTAGCACATGTGACATCATCACCACATCTAGAAAAAAATAACACCACTCTGATACATCCTTGGATACACTAGGCTGTTCCAGTGGTGAGCATGAATGGCCTCTAAGGGTCCAACTTCATGGGATTCTTAAGTCCTTTGGGCCTTAAATCTATTAATACACCATCTCTCCTCTCTAAATTGCTGGCACCCAGAGTACACTGAGGGTGGTAACAATGGGCTTAGAGTTTCTATTCTGTTTGTCATACATAGACTTGTAGCACTTTGAATACATAATATCATTTAATTCTCACCACCATCCTTTTAAAGTGTTGATATATCCCAGTTTTTCCTAAGATTAAGAGTGGGTGTAGGGTTTTACCATCCCTGTCAATTTTTGAGAGAATGAGCCCTAAACCCTGTCTCAGACACCTCAATATTTGGCTAATGGGGCTTTCTGCTCTAGGTGTAGGTTGTTATTCTCTGCAAACTAAATAATTATTCTGAGTTGTGAAAATCACAATGTACTCTAAGTGACTTTATCTTACAATTTTTGCACTTATTCATATGGAGTCATAGACTTTGGCTAGAATTCTCAAATGGTATGCTCCAAATAGGTTATAAGTATATTAAATAATGATTCCCTTTATTTCTTGGGGCATCAGGACTAGGGTCACTTGCTTCTGTGTCAGCATGTTTCTTGTGTACACATCATTGTCTCTGTGCCATAGCGAGACAGATGTGCAGAAGCATTGGCCATGGTGAGGTGGGCCATCAGATGGACCTGAAATCCAATCAGATGGGGAGAATTGTGTATGTAGCTTGGATTAGGCTCCTTGGAATTCCTAGGAATGTGGAAGGAAGAAATGAAGTAGACTTCAAGGAAAGGATGTTTATTGTACCCAAGAAATCTTCTGTTTTCTTCTTCAAGAGTGTTGACATTTTGCTTACATACTGTTGTTGCCTTCTACCAACTTCTGTAAAGATTTTGAGAGAGCTGCCAATAAATAAAAGATGCACAAATGTGTATGTGTGTGTGTGTATACATATATATATACACACAAATATAGATGTAAACCCATATATTGTATACATATGTTTGAATGATATAATATTTAATACTCTGTGAGACTGGATATAGTATGATCTGCAGGTAGGAAAAAAAATTCTTAGAGAAAGTCTATTTGAATTGCTTCAGGATTTAGGGGCATGAAATCTGAAGGTCCTAACCTAATCTAGGGAGCTTTTGAGGATAAGTTACTAGTCTATAATGGGTATTCAAGGAAAGAGCATTGACACAGCTCCCTGCATTTTGATCTTACCTCTGCTTCCCAGGTTATCTGCCAGGCTGGGTTAGTCATTAAAGGCTTTAAATTATATAGAAACAAATTACTGAAACTGGTGAATATTGTCTAATCAAATAATGTGAATCTGCTAAAAAACTGTAATTTGGGTTTTTCCTAATTGACATTTCAGCAGATTTTTTCCCTGACAACCAACAATAACACTCCCAGTGACTTTACTTAAGATCAGATGTGGAAGGAGCTGGAAGGACCCCTCCCCATGAGTATGAAGGTTGTAGTAGGATGGGATGCACAGTTAAACTAGTGGTTGTTAAGAAATTGTTCATCTGTAGGTCTAATAGAAGAGAAAACAGACAGCCCTGTTTTTCCCCATTTATGATTGGAATTTATTCTTTCAGAATTCCATCCTCTTCACTTTTTTTTTATATTGATACCATGACACAGATGAGAGAAACAGGAAAAACACATGGGTCTCCAGATAATGCAGTTTGGTACACAAGGGTTCTTGGCCACAGAGTCACAATTCTGGACATTTATTTCCTCCTCCAAACTCCTCTTCCTGCAGTGGTGGCTCTGAAATTCCATGATTGCAAACCATTCCTGGCTTTCTCCGTGACCTACAATACCTTGGAAAACTCAGGACACCACTTGTCCTTCCAACTTCATGTCCTACCTGTAAATAGAAATGATAGTAATCATTTGCTCATTCACAAGCTAGTTGTGAGGATCCTCTGAGAAAGCTGATCAGGAAGAGCTGTGAAATGATAAAACCCAAATCTCTGTGATACAGGCATTACCCACCAATCCATCCCTTAGAGATGCACCAGGGCCAGTGACCCTGGGTGACAAGATAGGGAGGCCCTGGTCTGGTAAGCACGGGATTCAGGTGCTGGTGCTGAGAGGACCCAGAACAACCAGGGTCAACTCAGATAAGCATCTCAACCTTCTTATCCCAGCTTCTTTTTGGTCAGAATTTCCATCAACTGTGATTCTGACAGAATGTGGTCCACTGGAGAAGGGAATGGCAAACCACTTCAGTATTCTTGCCTTGAGAACTCCATGAACAGTATGAAAAGGCAAAAAGATAGGACACTGAAAGATGAACTCCCCAGGTTGGTAGGAGCCAAAGCAAAAAACACCACCGAGTTGAGGATGAGACTGGTGATAGAAGCAAGGTTTGATGCTGTAAAAAGCAATATTTCAGAGGAAACTGGAATGTTAGGTCCATGAATCAAGGCAAATTGGAAGTGGTCAAACAGGAGATGACAAGAGTAAATATATACATTCTAGGAATCAGGGAACTAAAATGGACTGGAATGGGTGAATTTAACTCAGATGATCATTAGATCTACTACTGTGGCAAGAATCCCTTAAAAGAAATGGAATAACCATTATAGTCAACAGAAAAAGTACAAAATGCAGTACTTGGATGCAATCTCAAAAATTACACAATGATCTCTACTCATTTCCAAGGCAAACCATTCAATATCACAGTAATCCAAGTCTATGCCCTGACCAGTAATGCTGAAGAAGCTGAAGTTGAACGGTTCTATGAAGACTTACAAGACCTACTAGAACTAACACCCCAAAAGATGTCATTTTCATTATAGAGGACTGGAATGCAAAAGTAGGAAGTCAAGAAACACCTGAAGTAACAGGACATTTTGACCTTGGAGTACAGAATGAAGCAGGGCAAAGGCTAATAGACTTCTGCCAAGAGAATCCACTGATCTTGGCAAACACCCTCTTCCAACAACACAAAAGAATACTACACATGGACAAGTAGTTGTGTATGCATGTGAGAGTTAAACTATAAAGAAAGCTGAGTACAGAAGAATTGATGGTTTTGAACTGTGGTGTTGGAGAAGACTCTTGAGAGTCCCTTGGACTGCAAAGAGATCCAACCAGTCCATCCTAAAGGAGATCAGTCCTGCGTGTTCATTGGAAGGACTGATGTTGAAGCTGAAATTCCAATATTTTGGCCACCTGATACGAAGAGCTGATTCATTTGAAAAGACTCTGATGCTGGGAAAGATTGAGGGTAGGAGGAGAAGGGGATGACAGAGGATGAGATGGTTGGATGGCGTCACTGACACAATGGACATGGGTTTGGGTGGAGTCAGGGAGTTGGTGATGGACAGCGAGGCCTGGCGTGCTGTGGTTCATGGGGTCGCAAAGAGTCAGACATGACTGAGTGACTGAACTGAACTGAATTGTGATTACTGCCTGCAGATCATTCATGCCACTCTTTCTACTTGTTAGACAAGCCTGCAAAATCAGTCATAAGTCTTGGAATTGTCTAAAAATATTCAGGTATTCCTCCCTGTGTTTCCCAGCACTCTGTGTCTTGTGAAAATCATCATGAACTTGTATTCACCTGAGACAAACTTCAGAGACCCTGGCCCAGACTGGGTGAATCTGCATGTCCCCACCACCCCACCCCACTTTTGTAGCAGGCAGATGCTAAATGTTTATCACATTCTTATTGCCTGATACTGTCCACCAGGGTATCATACTTTTCCTGATTAAGACAGATGCTTAAGTAGCAACAACCAATCATTTTGTTTTCTATTCTACCTGCTATCTTTTTGGACAAGATGATTTCCCAAGATAAAATCATCTCAAGGGATAATGTGATGATTAACAGAATGTTCATGGAACTCTTAACGCGGTGCCTTACATATAACAAACACCTTGCAAATGGCATCTGTTGTCATTATAGTTGTTAACCTTTGGAATTGTTATTTTAAATACTTAGTCTGAACTTTTCCAGTCTTGTGGCCACTGATGAGTTTTCCGAATTTGCTGGCAAATCGACTGTAGCACTTTAACAGCATCATCTTTTAGGATTTGAAATAGCTCAACTGGAATTCCATCATCCCCACTCAGCAGTGGCCATAGGACTGGAAAAGGTCAGTTTTCATTTCAATCTCAAAGAAAGGCAATGCCAAAGAGTGTTCAAACTACTGCACAATTGCACTCATCTCACATGCTAGCAAAGTAATCCTCAAAATTCTCCAAGCCAGGCTTCAACAGTACATGAACCATAAACTTCCAGATGTTTAACCTGGATTTAGAAAAGGCAGAGGAACCAGAGATCAGATTGCCAACATCTGTTGGATCATCTTAAAAGCAAGAGAGTTCCAGAAAAACATTTACTTCTTCTTTATTGACTATGCCAAAGCCTTTAACTGTGTGGATCACAGCAAACTGTGGAAAGTTCTTAAAGAGATGGGAATACCATACCACCTGACCTGCTTCCTGAGAAATCTGTATGCAGGTCAAGAAGCAACAGTTAGGACTGGGCATGAAACAACAGACTGGTTCCAAATTGGGAAAGGAGTATGTTAAGGCTGTATATTGTCAACCTGCTTATTTAACTTATATAGAGAGTACATGATGCGAAATGCTGGGCTGGATGAAGCACAAGCTAGAATCAAGATTGCCAGGAGAAATATAAAGAACCTCAGATATGCAGATGACACCACCCTTATGACAGAAAGCGAAGAAGAACTAAAGAGCTTCTTGATGACAATGAAAAAGAAGAGTGAAAAAGTTGGCTTAAAGCTCAACATACAGAAAACTAAGATCATGGCATTCAGTCCCATCATTTCATGGCAGGTAGATGGGGAAACAATGGAAACAGTGATAGACTTTATTTTCTTCAGCTCCAAAACCACTGCAGATGGTGACTGTGGCCATGAAATTAAAAGATGCTTGCTCCTTGGAAGAAAAGCTATGACCAACTTAGACAGCATATTTAAAAGCAGAGACATTACTTTGCTGACCAAGGTCCATCTAGTCAAAACTATTGTTTTTCCAGTAATCATGTATGAATGTAAGAGTTGGATTTTAAACAAAGCTGAGCTTGGAGAATACTCTTGAGAGTCCTTTGGACAGCAAGGAGAACAAACCAGTCAATCCTAAATGAAATCAGTCCTGAATATGCATTGGAAAGACTGATGCTAAAGCTCCAATACTTTGGCCACCTGATTTAAAGAACTGATTAATTGGAAAAAGACCCTGATGCTGGGTAAGATTGAAGGCAAAAGGAGAAGGGGATGGTAGGGGGTGAGATGGTTGGATGGTATCACTGACTCGATGGACATGAGTTTGAGCAAGCTCCAAGAATTGGTGATGGACAGGGAAGCCTGGCATGCTGTAGTCCATGGGGTCACAAAGAGTCAGACATGACTAAGCAAGTGAGCTGAACTGAATTGAATACTTAGTGTAATGATAGAAAGATGGCTGTATGTTTGGGGTTTAAATGTGTCATAATGGCTCATGACATGGGCTTCCCAGCTCTGTGACTTAGTTTCCATCAAGTTGCTTCTCCTCACCCTTTGCCTCACTCCTCCATTTCTAAAATTAGATAATACTGTTACTAGATATTTTACACTGAATTTGTAATTAACCACTTCTTTATTCCTGCATGCATAGGTAAGGCTTCTGGATTCCTCATCTGTGATACCTGCTCACTCATCTCTCTAGTAACACCTGCTGACTCCTGATATTTTGGGATTCAACTCCTACTCTCTGAACTTCAGATATTCTCATCTATTAAAACTAGTAATGCCTGCCTCAAAGGATTACTGAGTGTATCATAAGAACTGATACCTAGAAAGTTCTTATCAAAGTGCTGGTGCATGCAACAAATATCATGAGGGCCACCTATAAGTATATTTATTTGGAAGGGAAAGCATTCCCTGCTGTTCCAACAAGTTTTTCAAGGAAAGGAGTTTAATCCTAACAGAGCAAATCATTAAAGTTTATCTTTGTAAAGTATCCTTGACATGAAGGCCTCTGTATTTTTGCTATTTCAGACATTTCTACTTGTGATTGGTGTGGTGGGTGTGATGGTGGCTGCAATTCCTTGGATTGCTATAGCTGTGATTCCCCTTGGCATCCTTTTCTTTGTTCTTCAGCAATATTTCTTACAGACATCACGAGATGTGAAATGCCTGGAATGTACAAGTGAGTACCTGGGCTCTCAGTTTGGGATGACAGTGCATGCTGGCTTCCTTTTGTACTGCAATTAACCAGACCCCTGAAATTCTGCAGTCTCTGTCTTATGAAATTTCTCACCATGTTAACATTAGGTGATTGAATGTTCTGGCCCCTTTGAACCCCTTTGAATCTGGACCCTTTTAATCTGGACACTTTGAATCCTTAAAGCAAATGGAGGTGATGGTGGGTCAGCTGCAGTTTGCAGTTTAGCACAAAGAGGATGGATGTGAGCACCACGAGGACACAGGCCATTTCTGTCTTGTTCATGACATACTTCCTAACAGAGTATCCATTCTATTCATACTTTTCTTAAAAGTATTTCATCATGTTGGATCTAATATAGAAGGAATTAATTAGAAGGAACTAATATAGAGAATTTTTCTTCTCCTGAAGTTACCAGACATGACAAGGAAAGGAAAAGATTAGGAAAAGGAAAGGAGACCTCAGGAAATATGTGTCAGAAGTGATACACTTGAAAAATACATTGTTTATCAGAGTTCAAGTAAGTTGTAATTGTAAAATGTATTGAAAAGATGTATGTTAGTCATCAGTTACGTCGACTCTTTGTGACCCCATGGACTGTATCTTCCCAGGCTCCTTTGTCCATGGATTCTCCAGGCAAGAATACTGGAGTGAGTAGTTGTTCCCTTCTCCAGAGGACCTTCCTGACCCAGGTGTTGAACCCAGGTCTCCTGCATCACTGGTGGATTCTTTAATGTCTGAGCCACCAGGGAAGCCCCGTTGAAAAGATAAGCCCTGTTATTTTCAGGTTTGTTCTTTATCATTATCAGTATTTGGGGTGATACCACACTGCTTGTGTACCCCTTTCTCAAAACTATTTATATAAATTATGCTGAAAATAATCCCCTATGAGGACACAGGATGGGGATCTGTTCAGTATGCATTTAGTTGATTAGTCCATACACCTTCCTAGTTTTAGAATAATGGGGGACAGGGACTTCCCTGGAGGTCCTGTGGTTAAGACTCTGTGCTTCCACTGTGGGAGCCTCCACTGTGGGAGCCACCACTTCAGTCCCTGGTTGGGGAACTAGATGCTGCAAAGTGCAGGAAAAAAACAAAATAATGGGGAACACATTTTATGATTAATTATTCTACAGGTAATCACAGATGATGATAGAATCAAATTTATGTCATTCTTAATGCATACATTTCATCAATATTAAAAAATAATAAGGAAAATACATTGTTACATATTTTTTAAGTTATAAAAACAATAGCTAAAAAGTAAGGAGGGAATATGTTCATAGCAGAGACCTCAAACATGAACAATTATTGCAAATTAATACCAACTTTACTTTGTAGAAACCAAGCCAAGAAGAGAAGCATATTGAATCCCATGGTTCTCTGTACCTACTAAATGGAAAAAAGTCTTAGTTCATCCAGTCAAAGGAGGTTTTTTGTTTGTTTGTTTGTTTGTTTGTTGTTGTTTTGGTGGCATTTGTGTGTTTTGTTTTTAATAGTAAACACTTGAGGTACTTATCTTTATTTGTGAAAAGGATAGTGATCATCAGTTTCATAAAATCTATAAAAGACATTTTCATTCATCAAGAGAAGCAGGTGACCTCCCATGAGGTCTGGTCTTGTGAGGTGTTCGGATGGAAGGGGAGCAGTAGAGTCCAGGTGTGTGTGACATTCTGCTGATGACTTGCTAGGATGGCAGGACCTGTGAAAGCAGAAGAGGAAGTGATGAGCTCCATCCAATCTTCTGTGTAGTCAAGGTTTCAGATGTTTTATAGTTTGAGGCCACCCTTGAAAGGGAGTCATTCAACAGTTTTGTTGCAAAGCAGGTCTATGGTACGTTCAAAGAGGATTTGTTCCAGAAAAAATGTTTGACGGAGGTTTTTGCCTGGGGCAAGGGCCATCGAGCATTCATATGAAAGTGGAAAGAAGAGTTTATCCTGAGGCTTTTGTCAAAAAGCAGTACAGAATTTTCTCAAAATTTGATCTGGAGTGTCTGAAGGACTTTGGCACCATCACTGTGGAATACTTGGATTTTTTGCACCTAGTAGGCTGCAGTAAGTTAGACAATGAATTTAATCCAGGTACTCCTGCACACCCCAGATAAGCACATATGGTGGCCAGTTGATTAGAACTGTTTATATTTTCTCTCTAGCTGGTGGTGGTGGTGGTGTTCAGTCCCTCATTCAAGTCCAACTCTTTGAGACCTCATGGTCTGCAGCACACCAGGCTTCTCTCCCGGAGTTTGCTCAGACCCGTGTCGGCTGAGTCAGTGATACCATCCAACTGTCTCATCCTCTGTCATCCACTTCTCCTCCTACCTTAAATTTTTCCCATCATCAGTGAGTTGGCTCTTCACATCAGGCGGTCAAAGTACTGGAGCTTAAGCTTGAGCATCAGTTCTTCCAATGACTATTTAGGGTTGATTTCCTTTAGGATTGACTGGTTTGATCTCCTTGCAGTCCAAGGGACTCTCAAGAGTTTTCTCCCACACCACAGTTCAAAAATATCAGTTCCTCTGTGCTAAGCCTTCTTTATGGTCCAACTCTCACAGCCATACATAACTACTAGAAAAACCATCAGTTCAGTTCAGTTCAGTTCAGTTTAGTCATTCAGCCCTGTCCAACTCTTTGTAACCCCATGGGCTGCAGCACACCAGGCCTCCCTATCCATTAACAACTCCTGGAGTTTACTCAAACTCATGTCCACTGAGTTGATGATGCCATTGACGATTTCATCCTCTGTCATCATCTTCTCCTTCCACCTTCAGTCTTTCCCAGCATCAGGGTGTTTTCCAGTGAGTCAGTTCTTTGCATCAGGTGGCCAAAATATTGGAGTTTCACCTTCAGCATCAGTCCTCCCAATGAATATTCAGGACTGATCTCCTTTAGGATGGACTGGTTGGATCTCCTTGCAGTCCAAAGGACTCTCAAGAGTCTCCTCCAACACCAAAGTTCAAAAGCATCAATTCTTTGGCACTCAGCTTTCTTTATAGTCCAACTCTCACATCCATACATGACTACTGGAAAAAAATATAGCTTTAACTAGATGGACATTTGTTGGCAAAGTAATGTCTCTGCTTTTTAATATGCTGTCTAGGTTGGTCATAGCTTTTCTTCCAAAGAGCAAGTGTCTTTTAATTTCATGGCTGCAGTCACTATCTGCAGTGATTTTGGAGCCCAAGAAAATAAAGTCTGTCAGTGTTTCCATTGTTTCCCCATCTACTTCCCATGAAGTGATGGGAATGCATGCCATGACCTTAGTTTTCTGTATGTTGAGCTTTAACACAACTTTTTCACTCTCCTCTTTCACTTTCATCAAGAGGCTGTTTAGTTCTTTGCTTTCTGTCATAAGGGTGGTATCATATGCATATCTGAGGTTCTTTTTTTTTTTCATTTATTTTTATTAGTTGGAGGCTAATTACTTTACAATATTGTAGTGGTTTTTGATATTTCTCCTGGAAATCTTGTTTCCAGCTTGTGCTTCATCCAGCCCGGTGTTTCACATGATGTACTCTGCATGTAACTTAAATAAGAAGAGTGACAATATATAGCCTTGATGTACTCCTTTCCCTATTTGGAACCAGTTTTTTGTTCCATGTCCAGTCCATAGTTTGTTGCAATCCACACAGCCAAAGGCTTTGGCATAGTCAATAAAGCAGAAGTAGGTATTTTTCTGGAACTCTCCTGCTTTTTTGATGATCCAGTGGATGTTGGCAATTTGATCTCTGGTTCCTCTGTCTTTTCTAAATCCAGCTTGAATATCTGAAAGTTCATGGTTCACATACTGTTGAAGCCTGGCTTGGAGAATTTTGAGCATTACTTTGCCAACATGTGAGATGATTCTAATTTTGTGTTAGCATTTTTTGGCATTGCCTTCTTTGGGACTGGAATGAAAAGTGACCTTTTCCAGTCCTGTGGCCACTGCGGAGTTTTCCAAATGTGCTGGCATATTGAGTGCAACACTTTAACAACATCATCTTTTAGGATTTGAAATAGGTCAGCTGGAATTCTATCACCTCCAGTAGCTTTATTGGTCGTGATTCTTCCTAAGGCCCACTTGAGTTCACATCCCAGGGTGTCTGGATCTAGGTGATTGATCACACTATTGTGGTTATCTGGGTCATGAAGAACTTTTTTTGTATAGCTCTTCTGTGTTTTCTTGCCACCTCTGAGTATATTCTGCTTCTGTTAGGTCCATACCATTTCTGTCCTTTATTGTGCCCATCTTTGCATGAAATATTCCCTTGGTATCTCTAATTTTCTTGAAGCGATCTCTAGTCTTTCCCAGTCTATTGCTTTCCTCTATTCTTTGCATTGATCACTGAGGAAGGCTCTCTTACCTCTCCCTGCTATTCTTTGGTACTCTGCATTCAAATGGGTATATCTTTCCTTTTCTCCTTTGCCTTTTGCTTCTCTTCTTTTCATAGCTGTTTAAAAGACCTCCTCAGACAACCATTTTGCCATTTTGCACTTCTTTTTCCTGGGGATGGTCTTGATCCCTGCCCCCTGTACAATGTCAAGAACCTCTGTCCATAGTTCTTCAGGCACTCTATCTGATCTAATCCCTTGATCTATTTCACACTTCCACTATGGATTTACGTCATACCTGAATGGTCTAGTTTTCCCTACTTTCTTCAATTTCAGTCTGAATTTGGCAATAAGGAGTTCATGACCTGAGCCACAGTCAGCTCCCGGTCTTTTTTCTGCTGACTCTATAGAGCCTCTCCAACTTTGGCTGCAAATAATATAATCAATATGATTTTAGTGTTGGCCATCTGGTTATGTCCATGTATAGAGTCTTTCTTGTGTTGTTGGAAGAGGTTATTTGCTATCACCAGTGTGTTCCCTTGGCAAAACTCTATTAGGCTTTCCCAGCTTCATTTTGTATTCCAAGGCCAAATTTACCTGTTACTCCACATGTTTCTTGACTTCCTACATTTGCATTCCAGTTCAGTTCAGTTCAGTCACTCAGTCGTGTCCGACTCT